GCCTCGAGCTTTTCCTCCAGATCGGTTCTCGGTCCATCGACAACGAGACGCGAGTCTCGACCCCTGGCTCACATGCCGTGTCGTATCAAGGGTGTCAGGCACAGCTCCAACGTGAGTGGCTCCCAGGGGTTGCTTAGGGGAACCACCACTAAGCGCCCGAAGGGGAAACGGCCCCAAACCAGAAGCGCTACGCTGCAACCATTGCCTCCACTCCTCCTTCTCCAGGGCCCCCCTTGAGCATGGCCCCTTTCAGGCCAGTCGCCGTCTGCAATTCCATGTTGATCAATCGCTTCCCAAAATCCTCCAAACGCTGGTCCATTTTCCTCTTTTTTTTTTTTTTTTTTTTTTGCCCTCCCATTTCCTTCTAAATGGACCGTCATCTTGGAGTCTTGAATTGCACCTTGGTTCTGCTGTCACTTGGTGAGACATCCCCGACCCAGATCCGCATGATTAGAGACAGCCACCGCCGCCCAGATCCCGTCTTTAACCATGGCCGCCCGCGACCCTCGTCCACCTCATCTCAACCTCCATCACCCACCGGAAGCCCCCGAGCACCCTCCATGCTCTTCTGAGACTCCTAACGCTTCATCTGATGTACTCCGGGGCCGTTCGCTCAACCGCAATTCCCACCGCCCTGCAGCCTCCCCTTCGCCCTCGCCTGGACATAGCAGATCGCAGACCTTGCCCGTGGTGACGCCTACCTTCAACACCACCAAGGCAATCAAGCGAAAGCCTCTCTCCTCCACCGCGTCCCAGTTGGCCTCCAGCTACGGCTCCGGTCCGCCAACTCCCTCTATTCTATCGACTTCCCACTTTGCTGCACCCGACACGCGCTTCTTGAGGTCCTACTCTGTCGACAGCCCGACCCTCTACGAGTACCCCGAGAACAGCGTCCGCCCTCTGTTCGCGCCTCCGGCCGCGCACCAGAGAAGCGACACCCAGTGAGTCCCAACATTGCCCGACATCTGCCACGCGAGATCCCGCCTTACAGCAAGGCTACTCCATAGAGGGCAATGCTAACTAGTCATTCTTCTTCTCACAAGCAGACCCACGCCCACGGGTGCCGTGCACGACGCGGCCTCTTCCTTACGAAACAGACCAAGCACCAACCTTGTCTTCCCTCAAACAGGCCTTTCAGACGGCCTGTCGGAATCTGCCTGCTGGCCTGCCGACGTCACCGCAACCTTCTCCCCTAGGTTACCGAAACCGCCACCTGAGCCCATCATTGAGGAGGACACAGACTCTGACTCCGACTCGACTTACAGTCACAACACTAATGAGAACTCTATCATGTCCATACCCACCTCCAAACCTACTCCTCCTCATCTCAACCTCAACAGCCATCGAGACGAATCACCTCAAACCATCACTACCGAATTGGAAGCCCGCCAGTCCGCTTCGCCGAGTACATCAACACAAACGTCCTCCCTCGACAAGCCTCTGCCCAAGTCACCAGGCTCTTCCAAGATAGCCAACTTCTTCGCCTGGGGATCTTCGCCGTCGCCTTCGACGACAGAGTTCTCCTCTCTCTCTTCACCCCTAGGATCACCACGACGCATCACGCTGACAGATGACACCCCTCTCACGACCGGAGTACCGTCATTGCAGCCGGAACCGAGAAAAGGGAATGCTACACCTACAAACGCTCTTGGATACTGCGAATCAAACCTGTACACGCCACCGCCTTCCTCCCTAGCCCCATCACTGCAGATCGAAGAGATGGAGGACGAACTCAAGGCCATCAGCTCCGAGCTGGCCTCGTCCATTCGTCGTGAAATGGACCTGGAGGACCTTGTCGACAGACTGCAGTCCGAGATCAACAATCCCCAAGCCTCGGGCAGGAGAACCAGTGACTACTTCTCAGACTCGGGCTACAGCTCTACCAAGTTCAGCGAGTACGACCAGAACAAAGAAGAGATCGAGAAGGTTCAGCGGCGTGCCGAGCAAGAGAAGGCCTCCATGCGCCTGGAGTTAACCAACAAGCTCCAAGAGGAACGGGCACGGAGAGCTGAGCTTGATCGGCAAATCAGGGAGCTGGCCGAGAAAGCTTCCCAAGTCGACGTGGCGCAGATCAATAGTGACGACGCCAACAGCCGCCTCCGAGACCTGGAACACACTTGCGAAGATCTACGACGCAGGCTGGGCGAGGAAGTCCAGGTCAGGTCTAATTTCGAAGACCTACTGTCCGTCCTCAAGGTCGAGCTGCAAAGCGCTACCAATGAGCGCGACAACCTGCGCGATGAAATCGTGCCGCAACTCAAGGCAAAGCTTGACGGGCTCGAGGCCGAGGCTTCCGAGTACGTCAACCTCACTTACGAGTCATCCAAGATGCAACAGGAGTTGGAGGTTCTCAGGCAAGAAAACCAAGCGCTCAAGGCTTCAGGGCAACAGCCTCAGCCAGAGACCCGTCCCCGAAGCTCCACTGCCCGTGTCGCTCGATCCAGCTCCGTCACCGCTGCGCCCTTTGTCCTGCAGAAGGCTCCCACGGGGCTCGGGCTGACCAGGTCTAACACTGTCAAGTCTGGCGTGACTGAGTCGCGTGAGCAATTGTCGGAGCGCCTAAAGGATGTCGAGGCACAGAGAGATGCCCTGCATAATGCGTTGAAGAGCCTGCTCGAGAGGCAGGAGTTCCAAAACCGGGAGAACGAGAAGAAGATTACGGCTCTAGAGGTGGAGCGCGAGCGGTTGATGTCTGCCTCCCCGCGCAAGGCCGGCTTCGAAAGAGAAATATCCAACTTGCGCGTGGAGATCAATGTGCTCCGTCGACGCGCCGATGAGGCGGCCGAACAGAAGTGGCAGGTGGAGAAGGGTCTTGCCGGTCTTAAGATGGACCTCGACCGTGCCGAGGGAGAAGTCGCCGCCCTTCGTGATCTGCTGAAGGAGAAGGATATCCTCATTCCTCCGTCAATGGCACGATCGAGTGCGTACGAGCCAGCCTCAACAGTGCCCGTCACTTCAGAATCCCTCGAAGCCGCCTTTAAGGATCTCCAGCTTGCTTACCAAGACTCTCTCCTCAAGATCAAGGAGTTGGAAAGCCGCGGTGTCGTACTTGCCGGAGATGAGGCCACTCAGCTGGCCCTCCAGCGGCTTGAGCAATCTCTCGCGGCTGCTGTCTATGAACGCGATGCAGCGAGAGAGGAGGCTTCGGCGTACAAGGATCAACTGGAAAGCCTTGCTGGCAGTGAGGTCGCTCACCTCGAAAGCGAGCGTGCGCTTGCCGACGAACTCCGCATTTCTGCCCAGCGCGTCGAGGAACTCGCCTCGCAGGTTCAGAAACAGCTCTCCGTGAACTCGGAACTTCGCCAACGTCTCGCGGACGCCATTGCTCGTGGGGACGCCGACCGCAAAGCAAACGCCGACCGCATCACTCGGTTGCAGAGCCGCCTCAAGCACCTGGAAGAGCAGCTCCAATCTGCCCAGATCGCCTCCGAGGAGCGTGTCGCTCGGCACGAGGAGCAGCTGAGGGAGCTGAAGGACGCCCAGAGCGCTCAACTCGTTCGGATGAGCCCGTCCCCCATCGGCAGCGGCTTCCGCTCTCCGCGCAAGCCCAATTTGAGCCCCATGCCCTCACCCATGTTCCCTCGATCGCCGCGCTCCATGCCGAAGCAGTCCGTTGAAGACGACGTCCAGATCGACATGTTGCGCGCTAAGGTCGTCGAGCTGGAGACGGCGCTCACGAACGCCGACTCGGAAATGCAGGATGTCGTTGCCCGCATGAGTACGGCGCAAATCGAAGTCTTGACCTTGCAGGAGGAGCGTGAGGCCGCAAGACGGGAGACCAGACGTCTTCAGCAGGAGCTGGAGAATGAGAGAATGAAGTCCTTCGAGGACCGCTTCAAGTCGCTTGGCAGCACTGTTCAGTGATTTAAAGAGCGACCGTCTTGGCTCGAATAGGGGCGCTTGCACTAAGACATAACGCAACCATATATACCCCTTCATCAGCATGCGGCGCGCCTTGTTTCAAGATGGGCACTAGGGCCGGGTCACATCCTTGACAACCAACGTCCACGCTTCGCTTGGAGTCACACCATCGGGATTCTGTCATTCAAGTCCACCAGGAAGGTGGCGGTACTGGGTTCATTGCACTGGCAAGCCATGCGTTGAGAAACCAAAGGGCGCATGCAATCACTGTTTCTGATTTCCATTAATTTTTTTATTTTCTTTACTTTTTGGGTACCGGAGTTTTTCCGCCACTTCTGGGATAAGGCAGCGTGCCCGGATCCCCACAGATTGGCTTTTGTGGTGTTACAAACAACACCTTGGACGGCCGAAAAACTACCTACAGCACATGATTTTCTGTCTTCTGCCAGTTTGCAGACTCTTTATACCTCTTTATATATACTTAGTGGGCGGGCGCAGCACTGAAGGTGCTTGAATAATGTGTTATCTAGTTGTTATTCGCCCCCTCGTCTCTATTCTTAGGACTTCCTGTTGCAGGGGACGCGAGTTGTACAAATAAGAAACATGCACGGTAAAGGGAGCATATGTGCAGGCGAAAAGGCGATGGAAGAAAAGGCAAAAGATATGGGACCTGGCCAAGTTGTCAAGGTTCGACTCGAGTTGGGCAAGCGTCGGATGAGGAGGACCAAAGGGAAGGAAGGAATGTGTATGTTAGGAGAATTGATGACTTGAACCACACTTGGAGAGAAACTACGATGCCCAGTATTGTCTGGTTTTGTGTTCAACTAGGCTGCTTCTTGGATTCGTCGAGGCGTCACGGGCCCGCCGCGCCCCAAACGGCGGGCCGCGAGAACCACTTTCGGACCGCCGTGGGGAGGAAGGAGGGGTTTGCGAGGATGGAGGGCTGATCCTTACCAGGCGTTCGCATGACTGCCAAAACATACACTGGCTTCCACGGCACGACTATATGGGGGTTATTCTTTCCCTGAGTATAGCCATGGGTAAGGTACGGATAAGGAGGAACTCTCTCGCCTCTGCCAACCTTCTTCAAGGTTCAGTCAGTGCAGTGCGCGGCGCACCTTGTCAACGAGGGGAACGGTTATGGATATCAAATGTCTCGTGTCTTGTTCATCTCGTAATTTGGTGGGCAAGTCCCCCTCCTTGCAACAACCAAATCCGCTCTAGCTTTTGAAACAACGCCGTAATTTTCGTGTCGCGACTCCCGGTGAGACGACTCACCCGTCACTCTTCATCGTCCAAGCCCAAGTGTTGCACTGTTAATGTTTGGATTCCAGCTGCGACTCGGCCTTACAATCCACCGTACCGCTTCACGATCCCTGCAACCTTGTTCGCAAGCTCATCAGCCTCGGAACGGGTGGCTGCCTCAGCGTATACGCGGCACGCGTTCTCTGTACCGCTGGCCCGAGCAAACGAACGAGCGCTGGTATACTTCCTAACACACTGGTCGATCTCGTCCTGGGCACCTTCAGGGTGGCTGAGGCGGCGTTCGGCGTCAGTCGTCTGGAAAGCGTCCTTGTTGCCAACCTCAACGCGAACAAGGCGGTTGGGGAGGTCCGAGTATGTCGAGGCCCAGTCCTTGAGAGTCCAGCCCTTGTGGGCGAGGATCACCTCGACCATCAACATGTCCGACAGGGCGTCGCCGACCGTCTGGTTGACGAGGTTGCCAACTGCGGCAAGAGTCTCGAGGGCGTCCTTCTGGGCAGGGGACTGGGGCTTCGTCTCGCGGAAAGCACGCATGGCGTCCTGGCTGAAGAGGACGGTGCCGTGGCCGTTGGCCTCGAAATAGGGGCCGATGTCGAACTTGAGGGCGGCGTGGTGCAAGTGCTTGACGCCGGTAGGCGTGCACACAACGGGCAATCCGAGGTGCTTCTCGATGTAGTTGGTGCTTGCACCGTTAGCATAGGCTGTCTGAACAACGCCGATACGGAGGTCATTCTCGAGGCCAGCGGAACGGACGAGGTCACCGATAAAGGAAGCAGCCAATGTGGATATCCGGTCGCCGTCCAGCATGAAGAAGCCGGTATCCGGGTCGGTGTAGTAGTAGATCAGGCGGTCGGCATCGCCGTCAAAAGAACAATAGCGGGCTCCAGGGATAGGCTTGGGAGAGGCCGGGGCACGCTGCTTAGTCTTGACGAAGTCTGCTCCGCACTAGCAACTGTCAGCTCGAGCAATCGATACGGCCGGGATGTAATAAACTTACGTCAAGGTTGAGGACCTCGGGGCGAAGGACGTCGTCGTTGACAACCTTGACGTCGAAGCCGGTCACGTCCTTGGGGACGTGCTTCAGGAACTCGGTGAGCTTGGGGCCACCAACGCCGTTGGAGCAGTCGACGGTCAATTGGCCTTCGATTTTGCGGCCCTTGAGAGCCTTGACGAAGGCATCGGCAAACTTCTCGTAGTAGCCCGTTTCGCTGACCTTGCCGTACGACTGGGGGGTGCCCTCGGTGTTGATGCATCGGGTAAGGTAGTGCAGCTGGGGAGTGGTGAGGATCTTGTAATCAACGTACTCGACACCGGTGGCCTCGAAGGAGTCGGCAAGAGCTGCAACAAGCTTGTGGCCCGAAGGACGGGTGTCTCGACCATAAACGACGCGGGCGGGGGCCGAGAGATCGATGCGGAGCTGGGAGGCCAAAGCCTTGTAGTTGTCAACGAGCTCCTGGTCCGAGGAGCTGTTGACAAGCTTCGTAGCATACGACTCCCACTCCTGCTCGAGCATGTCACCCATGGGGTCGACAATCTTAACGCCATTGTCGACAGCGGGGTTGTGGCTAGCCGTGACCATAACACCAATGGTCTGGCCACCAAGCTTGCGGCTACGCAGGCCGGAGAGCAGACCGACACGGAAAGTGACACCGTCGAGGAGATCGGCCTTCATCCGGAACCCCGCAGTGCCATACTTGAAGATGTGATTCGGCACGATGGGGTGCTTCTGGGAAGCGGCGATAATCTTCTCGTCCGACATGGCGGGCGTTAGTATAAAAGACGAGTTTGGGATGCGGGTGTTCGTAGACAGAGGAACAAAAGAGTTCGGAAGGGAGGTTTTACGAGCTAGAGCGATTGACGGGGCGGAAGCAAGAGAAGGAGGAAGAAGCAGATCTGGGGATGTTTACGAGAAAACAGTGGAGAGGAAATGGCGGGCGGCAGTTGGCTTGCTGGACGGGCGTGGAGGCCGCCATTCCTGTGTCCTCCTTTTTGAGACCTTATTCCTCCACTCACTCACCTTACCTCCTAGCTCCCCAGCGTTAATTATCACCTGGTGCGAAAATAGCAGCAGTAGCGTTAGTAGTGATAGCAGCAGTAGTAGCAGCAACCAACCTCAACAAGGCGGGCCCCGCCAGCTGACACTGGCCGTGATGCAATCCTGCAAGTCAGATGGATGCAGGGCACCTCACCGCAAGTGGAAAGAGAAGGGTGGGGGCGCAGTCCCGGAAAGCCCCTCCGCACCAACACAGCCAGTTGAGTGCACCTGCTGAGGGGCATTCAGTAGCTAAATTAGCGCTCTCAGAACACTGCATGGCTCGCACGCTCCCCTAGACAAGAGTCACGTGGTTTCGTGATTGGACTCGAAGCCAAGGCCAAAAGTCGCTTTGTGCGTCCTGCGCGTCTCGTTGCCTGCTTCCTTTCCTCTCTTAGCCTTTTCTCCGATCCTGATTCTTGACCCCAGTCTTGCGCCGAGCCAACGCGGTGATCGATGGCTGCTTCAACGTCATTCTCAGCTCAACACCCGCGCCTCGCATTCCTTCCTCACAAAAATGCTATTTTCAGCACGCCGCTCTCGGTGATGACTTTGAAGACACAGCCAAGAATTCTTGCATCACGTCAGCACAATGGCTGGCGAACATGAGCAATACGCAAACCCCTTGCTTCTTGACTGGGTCAAAGAGTGGCTCGACACCGCGAGGGAGCGCAACATGAAAAGCGCCTCTACCTACAGAAACGCCTACGAGTCTCTCAAAGCATGCCCCGTCACCTTCAAGCACCCGCGCCAGCTCACTCAGCTCAAGGGTTTCGGAGACAAGCTCTCCTCTCGTCTCACAGATAAGCTGAAGGAACACTGCGAGGCCAACGGCCTGCCTATGCCTACGAATCCGCGCTTATCCAAGGAAAGTCGCCAACTCCCCGGTGGGGCCGCTGAAGATGACGAACCTCCACCTCCTAAGAAGACGCGGAAAGCAAAGCCCTATGTTCCGACCTATCGATCCGGCCCCTATGCCCTTCTGCTGGCTCTATCGACATTGGATGAGGAGGCGCAGCTGGGAATGACAAAGACCAACCTCATCGAGCTAGCACAGGAACACTGTGACTCGTCATTCAGTGCGCCCAGTGACCCCACCAAGTTCTATACGGCCTGGAACTCGATGAAGACTCTCATAGATAAAGATCTCGTCTGCGAGAAGGGCCGCCCACAGAGGCGTTATTCGCTTACGGAAGAAGGATGGGAGGTTGCCAGGCGCATCAAGAAGACAACAGAATCGAGCTCAAGGGCCGATGCCTCCGTGGCAGGCCCCAGCACCCGTCCTGACCTCGAAACGAGACCGGATCCGGCCACAACAGCGTTGGGAAGAAGCGCTTCATTGTCAGTCGAGCCCGTGGAACAGGCAAAGCCCAAGTCGGTATACGAAGGCGTCGTCGCAAATGGCCCAATAGTCTCGGATGACGCCTCTTTGCCAACATTTACTCCGATACGGCTTGCGCCGGGGTCGTTCACAGTCCATCTCGCGTTGGATATCCGCGAAGTTCGAGCAGTGAAAGACCGCGATTACATGCAAGATGAACTCACCAAAAAGGGGGTCAAACCCCTCATGCGGGCGTTGGAAGTCGGCGACGCGCAGTGGATCGCCAAATGCCACGATACCACCGCCCTGTCCCGTCATGGTGCAGAAGGAGACGAAGTCGTCCTGGACTGGATCGTCGAGCGCAAACGACTTGACGATTTGGTCAGCAGTATCAAGGATGGTCGTTTTCACGAGCAGAAGTTCCGGCTACGCAAATCCGGCGTCAAACATGTTGTGTACATCGTCGAAGAGATTACGATGGACTCGGGCTACTACTCCAAGATCGAGGAGATGGTCCAGTCGGCTACCGCTTCCACTCAAGTAGTTAATGGCTACTTCCTGAAGAAGACCCAGAAAATGGACGACACAATCCGGTACCTCGCGCGCATGACGTTTATGCTCAAGAAGATGTATGAAAACAAGCCTCTTCACGTTATCCCGACGCCGGCTCTGACGGCGCAGAACTATCTGCCGCTGTTGGAACACCTGCGAGAAAAAGAGCCGTTGACGGGCTACTACATCACCTATCCGGCGTTCGCATCACTGGCGTCCAAGTCGGACATGATGACGTTGCGAGACATTTTTCTCAAGATGCTCATGACAACAAGGGGTATCACAGGAGAGAAGGCATTGGAGATTCAGAAGCGGTGGAAGACACCACATGATTTTATCAAGGCGTACCAAGAGTGCGGCTCGGGTGAGCAGGGTCTCAAGAGGAAGCGAGAGATGGTTATCAATGGCTTGCCTAACCTCGTGGGCCGCAAGAAGATTGCCAAGGCCGTCAGTCAGCGACTGGCTGAAGTCTGGGGCGATGCTTAAGCACGAGACATCTGGACGGCATGGGACATATCATACCAACAACGCAGATTAGGATATACCGACTTTATAGCCAACTTGAGATGCAAAACCAAAAGGTGGGAGGGGCAAAGAGAACAAAGAAATCCCCAGAGTGCTACTGAGACTTTCCGACCAACCCTTGGGCGACAATGCGCTCCACCATTTTCTCCAGCGGAGCACTGCCCGCGCCGCCGAGATAGCTCGTCAGGCTCTTCTCGGCGTACTTGGCCATCATGTCGACCTCGACATTGACCGTGTCGCCGGGCTTCTTCCCCGCGACGACCACCTTCTCCTGGGTGTAGCTGATGAGCATGACCTCCCACCAGCCCTCGCCGTCGTTGACCTGGGTGACGGTGAGACTGGTGCCGTCAAGGGCGACGTAGCCCTTGTAGACGACGTAGCGTAGCACGGCCTTGTCGCGCGGCGCGAAGCGGAAGGTCAGCGCGTTGCCGTCGGGCGTGACGGCAAGGATGGTGGCTGTGGTGTCGACGTGGCCCTGGACAAAGTGCCCGCCCATGCGGGTGTCGGCACGGACGGCGCGCTCGAGATTAACGCGGGAGTCCTGGGCCAGGGAGCCCAGGTTGGTGATGCGAAGGGTCTCCGGGGCGACGCCCACGCGGAAGGACGGCGGGGAGGTCTCGAAGTGGGTGACGGTGAGGCAGACGCCGTTGATGGCGATGGAGTCGCCGAGGTGGCAGTCCGAGAGGAGCGTGGAGGACTCAGGCAGAGTGATTGTGAGGGAGGTGCCGCCGGTCTCATCATTGGGGTTGAGTTCGGAAACGACTGGGGAATGTGTTAGTTGAATGGCGATGGAGAGGTGAGTCAAGGGGGGGCAGTTGAGGGGCATCGGACCTCCAATGTCTTCGACAATGCCTGTGAACATGGCTATCTTCTGTGTGTTGCCTGGCTACGGTATGATTTTTATTTTCCTCGATTGTATTGGAGCTGTCACGATCAAGGTCGTGAGGATGGGCGGCTGAGTGAGTGAGTGAGTGAGTGGGATGAGAGGTCATCGAAGGCCTTCGGAAGCTATAGGTACCAGATCGGCGACCCCTCCAAAAAATCAACCCCTCTCCCCACTTTCTGCAACGAACAGACGGCCGACGCCCACTAACAAGAATCATTAACATTCAAGCCGTGCACCGCCCTGTTTCCCGTGGAACTTGCAATTCCCCTGCTACATTTACTCTGTCCGACTATCGCGGTGCCTTTTCCCCGCTGTGGACTGGTTCCTTCGTTTGTTCCTGGCAGTCACCTCAGTCACCTCGGGCCGGCATATCATTGATCGCATCCCCTATCCTTCCAGGGCATTCGAAATGGCTTAGCACGATTTAGTCAGCATGTTTGGCCGCTGTCGATAGCGCTTCAGGGATCGGTTGGGGAGGGGGGGGGCACTCTTTGCATGCCCGCGCGCGGGTTTCCAGGGTGGGGGGGGGGTATATGTAAGCATCATCACATCAGACAACGGACTCGGAAGGGATATGGTTGATGGGACCTTTTCCCTCTTGCATGATGCACGTAATCTCAAGTCTTCCTCGGAACCTCGGAATTACTTGTGATCCAAGATGCTCGTGTTAAGGTGCCGTTCGAATTCGTTACGCCTGCCAACGCTTGTTGGCAGGCCCAAAACAACCCCCGTTGAAGTCAACGTCTGTTTACCCAGAGATGTCGTTGGTTTGCCGCCAACGTTTTCGCCAATGGTACAATCTGGGTAAGGCCTCGGCTCGTTGTGAAGGTACCCTACTGACATGGTGGAATCATGACCTTAGACATCTCGGTTATGTCTCTCTTCGCTGAGGATGTCGAGGCAAACGAAGAGTTCAAAGTTGAACAGCGGGGCGAACAGTCCATAACGTGTAGAGTTGAAAGACCGGGCAGGCAAAGAGCAATGGCAAGGCGAGGATGAGGGCAAGCTCGCATGGCGTAGGAGCTATTGTTCTTAAGCAAAAGATGAGGATTTCGAGTAAATGAACCAGCACGAGGTCAACCTCATACTCGCCGTAGACGTCTCCAAGTTTGGCAACAATCTGCCATCGGCTGACTGTCGCCAGCCTGAAAGCTTACCAGGTACTTTCCAACGTCTTTCAGATTGAACGGAGACGTGCTTTTATCAGTGGCCTCTATGAGCTGACAGCCCAGTCGGTGCTTCAACGACCTCCGGTGCTTCGGGAATGCGCTCGGGGCTTGCTTGTCGCGCTCTGGGCCTGGGATGTCCTACGTATCCCAATGGACTCAATGGAATTGGGCGGGTCTCTAGGGAGATTACGGAATGAACGCTTCTTCGGTGCCACGGCAGAGCTATCCGAGTTGAAGTGATCCGCCCTAGAGTGGAAGTGTGGAATAGGCACCTGTTGTTTCGGGCCGCCCGCTCTCTGTGTAGACTACCCGTGAAGCCGGGGCGTGAGTTCCGAGATGATGTCCAACGCAGACATGCCATGGCGCAAGTAGGCGGCACGGTTATCGACTCATAACATGCGTACCAGGCCGTTGAATGCCAACCAAGTCTTTGGGTACTGGGTGCAGGGACATGGGTTTCAAAGACTTGACCAACCAAAATAACGACGCCCCCAACCAATCTACTTAGCTTGTCAGCTTTTGAGAACGGCACGTTGAAGCCATGTAGGCCGTAAATGGGTTCGCACGTGGCTTACACGGACAAGACCCCGGCAGCAACGTTTCACGAAACTTGTACCTAGCCCATGGGTCGTTGCTTTTCCCGGCAGAGTCCTCCGCCATACGTTTCTTGCTCAGCACACTCAGACGTTGTAGATGATGCCTGCCGGCACACAAAGACCAAGACTGTGGTGCCGCGGGGTGCCGGGCCCCCCCGGGCGAGCATGTAGTCGCCGACCGACCGGATCGTGGCGGATGGCCGTGAATACCGCCTCCGCGCCGATTCTCCCTCCCCCTTCCTTCTGCCCAAGGCTACAAGCTGCAGATAAGGTGTCTGCATGCCCTTTAGGCCTCTGAATGGCAGATGCCCCCCGCTTACGCTATGTACGTGTTTGTAAGTGTGTACGTGCCAGCGAGAGCGAAGAGCTTACGATTTTACTGTCGGCCTCTCGGTAGCATGCGCCTATCAGGCAGCTATTGATATTTCTTGCTGATACGTTTTACAAGGTCATAATGCGGTCTCAATTCACTCTATATCGAACCCTCATCTTGGATATGTCCGGTTTCCGGTCCACGAGTCTGTCATATCCATGAGTTAACGCGAGGGATGGCGAGATCTCAGCATAGGAGCAGAATCCACCCAAAGAGGAATGCAGAGGCTAGATAATGACGATCGTAATATGTCATGAATTCAGGCGGTTACGCCATGCTTGTAGTATCTTCTACTCAAAAGGGGAGGAAGGAAATCTCGCGGCCTAATGTAAGGCAGCCCGCCTTCACCCTCATTAAAAACTCCAAACCCATTTTGGTACTCCATGATGCAAAACCTCCGTGCAATCTACCCATCCATTAGGCCCGCTTCTCATCCATATCCGTCCTCGCTTCAATGACGGGGCTGGGCTGGATCTGGTCACCCGTCTCCTTCTCCCTTGCAGACGACGACGAAGACGCTTCGGCGGCGTCAGTCATGACACCGTTAGAGTTGTTGCCCTTGTACTGGTCCTTGAAGTAGCCGTGCATCGCTTCGGAGAACATGTCCGGGTCCTCCCATACCTCGGGCTCCTTCTCGCCCTGCATCGCCTGCCTCTCCTCCCACTCCTTGCGCATGTCCTCGATCTGCGCCTTGTGGTCCTTCTCGGCGTCGTAGTATTTTCCGACGCCGCGGAGACGCTCCCAGACGCTGAGATGGGTGGGGTGCACGGCGACGCCGTGGTACTCGGCCTCCTTGCCATTGCGGATGTAGGTCCAGCGGCGCTCTTGCTCCTTGAGGTCCAGGCCGGTGGTGTCGGGCAGGAAGAGCCAGGTGAGGAGCATTCCGGCAAGACCGAACCACGGAACGACGTAGAACTTGGTCTGGGTGTCAATGTAGTTGTACAAGACGGAGGCGAGGAGGGCACCGGCCTTTCCGATACAAGCGGAAAATCCATGGGCTGTAGCGCGGATGGGGGTCGGGAAAACTTCGCCGGCGACGAGGAAGGTGACGGAATTGGGGCCGAACTGGTTAAAGAAGGAGCTGAGGAAGTACATGGCCTGGAAAGCGTGGACGCCGGCGGGACTGACGTAGTAGTCGAAGTTGAAGGCCGGGATGACGAACATGATGAAGCACATCAGAAAACCGACCTGCTGCATCATCTTGCGGCCGTAGAGCTTGTTGTCGATGAGCATGGAGGCGAGGTAGTAGCCGCAAAGGGAGACAACGACGTTGATAAGACTCCAGGTCCACTTGGTCAGGAGGGAGTCGGGGTTGCTGGAGATGATGGAGATGAACTGGCCCTGGAAGAGCTTGTTGCCGTAGAAGAAGACGTCGTTGCAGAACCAGGTGCCGGCGGTGGCGAGGAGACGGCCGCCAAAGTGCTGGCAGCAGTACTTGAGAGCGTTGATGTCATAGCCTGTAACGCCCTGCTTCTTCTTGGCAAGGGCGAGCTGCTGGTTCGCGCGCGGCATCTTCCAGATACGGTAGTAGACGAGCCACAGGGTGCCAATGGCGGGCAGAGCGAACGAGATGCGGAAGGTGTACTGGGCGGCGGCGACGGAGTACGGGCCGTCGCCATAGCCACGGTTGAAGATGACGAGCAGGACGATGAGGACGACCTGGTTGACCAGCTGGCCCCAGCCCTGCATCAGGAAAGCCATGGTGACCTTGCGGCCGCGGTGCAGACGGTCATCGCGCGTAGACATGCGGCCGGCCGCCACGGCGTTCTCCATGGAGGAGGTGGCGGTGATGGGATATTCGCCACCGACGCCAAAGCCGTAGAAGAAGAGGGACCAGGCGTAGAAAATGACCCAACCCTGGAGAGAGGCGGCCCAGCTGCCGGTCAAGAGCAGCAGACCGATGAACATGATGGCGGCGTCCTGAATGAGACCGTAGCGACGACCAATCCAGTCACCGATAACCTGCAACAGGGTCAGAAACTGCGCTCTCGCAACGGGTGATGCCAGCACTTACACCAATGGCAGCTTGGCCAATCATGATACCGACAATCTCGAGGTAGGTGACGGCGGCAACCCAGTTCTGGGTACAGACGGCGTGCGACTTCCCCCAGCATTCGGGCCAGACGGCAGCGAAGAGCGGCTCCAAGTTACCGATGGAGAACAAGACATAGCCCTCGAGACCGAGACCGGCACCAGGGAGAACGGCGTTGCGGAAATACCAGGAGACGGGCGAGAGAGGGTCTTTCTTCATCATGGCTGCGGTGGCCCTGAGCTCCTTGAGGGCCTCATCGCGGTCGACCTTGCTAACGAAGTTGACGCGTTTCCACCAGGGCAGGTCGGCCCAGTAAACGCCGTCGGGGGTGTACGAGTCGTCGGGGCGCGTGACATGGCCGAAAATCTGACGTTCGTACTCGGTGGTGTGCTCCGTGGGGTAGTCCTCGCCCGTCTCGGGGCCGTGAGGCACGGGAAGGACGCCAATGGGCGCAGAATGGCGATGAGTCGCCATTGTGTTCAAGAAAGTCGACCAAGGTGCCCGAAAAACTGGCTCGTGTCGTCGGTGGAAAAGGAAACCGAACAAAGATCACCTGGGGTGGCCCGCGCGCAGATGACGAAGATTAGAAGTATATGTCGTCGGGTGTGCCGTGGGGAGACCAAAGCTGAACCTTGGGACGATCGGACGGTACCCGAGGACAAGGTTCACTCGATGATGCGGTTCCTGACTTCCACCCTGGATAGAGTAGGTGAAGGGAAGACGGGAGTTTGACGTTGACCACGGGGAGAGAAGTGAAAGGAGAGGAGACACGATCAGGCCAAGAGGGAAGAGAGCACATATAAGCAGAGTTGATGCTGGGATGGGGTGTTCGATGGTTGGCTCGGGTGGGCAAACTGGGGGATAGTGTCTTGCGTTGCGGGTACTTGGTAGTGACAAGACGTCTAGAGAAGTGGAATCGGTCGAATCGCGTGGAGAACGTTGAACCAGCTCGACTCTGGACCAGTGCCAGTCGAGGATTGAATCCCGTGGCAGTCTGAGCAGCTTCAGCGGCGGGCCAACGGTTCTGCTATATGCGGGACGGTCCCCTGTTTAGTGTATCCGTAGACAGGGTAGTCTCGAAGCTTTTGCCAAGTTGAGTGACCGAAGGCACATATCCAAAGCAACCCGGTCCCTCTTAAGGTCACACACACACAGGCCGAGGGCAAAAAAGAAGCTAACGGTAAGAGATTAGGAAGACAAAACAATTGAAGGACCAATGGTTGGGCAGCGAGCAGAGGCAAAGCAATAATCAGTAACCAAAATAGACGAGATGTAAAACCTGTCGGTATGAGCACATCCACGGTGTAGCTCGGATGCGACAAACCAGAAGACGGCTAGCAGACTGGGGGCCGATGAGCGTGGCGTAAAGGGAAAGGGAGAAAGAGACAGAGAGAGAGAGAGAGAGAGAGAGAGAGAGAGTGTGTGTGTGTGTGTGTGTGTGTGTGTGTGTGTGTGTGTGTGGCCACCCAGCCCACTTAGACCCCTTACCAGGCAGAGAGGCTGGGCTGGGATCCATGGCCATCGGCCGGAGGGAAGCAACGCCCCCCCCCTAAGTGTCGGCGGGATACAAAGTACATTGGTGGTGCGTCGGCGACCTACCTACCTTGATTGACTACAGGTAGGTAGGTAGGTACCTTTGCAGCAGCATACCGGTATATGGATGGCATTGAAAGCGGACATGTACGATAGAAAACGGTGGGGCGCACCAGCTTCACGCCACCGAGATGGGCTAGTTTGTCGCAAATTCAACCACAAAGCACAATACCCAGGTCAAAATCCGAGCCAGTGATCAAGGTCCAGGAACATGGACTATTCAGATGGCAGCGCCTCCTAGTAATAGTACCATGCATACATAGATAGGGTGCGGTCCCTCCCTAGCTACCTAGGTAGTTTGCGCAGCAAAGCGAGTCCCTCTCACTCTCATTACCACATTTCCCACAAATCTCTTTTACAATGCAAACAGGTCCCCTCTCGGCCGAGACCAAACTTGTCGACTTTTGAAAGCCGTCTTCTGCCTGTCTGCAGTGTACACTAGGTAGGTGGGGTGGTGCAGGGGAAATGGAGGATGCAGATACTATGTACTCCGTAGAAAGTCCGGGCGCCGATGCAGAGCGAGCCCTTTCTGCAGCAGGAAGGGCGGCCAGATGTTTTCTTTCCTCCCCCTCCCCGGCTCCGGAAAAATGGAGAGGAAATCGACAGAGGGAGGACGAAGAAGAAGGCGACAGTTGGTGGAACAGACGAAATAGACCGTCGGACCAATTTCGCCTTCCCGCCGCTCATCCGCTCCGTTCCCCATAGTAAAAAAAAAAATTTAGTAAAAAGATAAGAATCACCGCTGCTAAGCCCATCCTCCGCCTTCCAGGCATGCCGCGGCAGACGAGCTTAAAGGAATGACGTCTCGGGAGCCGCCGAACTAAGGCCTGCCCAGATAGACAGACCAATCAGCTGCCCGCAAAGGAAAACGTGCCTGATCGATTGACTCCCGGCAAACCCGCACTTTCGGCATGGCTCCTCTTTTTTTTTCTTCCTGCATGGCGCTCCTCGTATCATTACCATCCGGGACGGAAGCGCAGAAAATTCGGTGCGATGGACCTCGTACGGTGACTTCGTGGTCTGCTTCCCCCTTCCCGCAGGTCTCGCCAAGCCTGCATTTTCTCCCTGAGATCGTGTGCTAGCCGCCTTCAAGAAACTGCTCGTGTGCTCGCCTTCCCCTTCCTTCATTTTTGCGTCGCCAAGCTGCTAAGTCCATACCGGCCCATGCCTGCCACGCACATTGACAAAGCTTCTTTACACTTATCCTCCTAAGGCTCATGAAATGACTAAGCTTCCACCGTTATTAATCATGATTCAATCATTCTGATCGATTGAATACATTTTGATCTTCCTCGAAAAAATCAAACGAAAGGGGGAATGAGCACTCGTATCCCAAGTCGAATTGTCAAATTCAATCACGCAGTATCAGCATGATATAGATAGAACAATATACTTTCGTCGTCGCCATCCGAACCAGTGCGTGGGGCGGGGTGAACCGACCGTACCTCGGCGCTTCTACTCACGACGATAGCGCCACTACCACCACCACCATCAACTCTACGTGTCCCCTGCCCTTCCTTTCCACCATGCAAATAATTAAGGCACCCGAAAAGGCGTGCGGACGCGTCCTCGCCTCGAGATCCTTCCTTCCGTAGAGGCTTGATCACCTTTTGGAACCGTCCAGCCCAAGGCCCCCCTTCTCTCTCTCTCTCTCTCTCTCTCTCTCTCTCTGTGTGTGTGTGCGTGTGTGCGTGTGTCGGTGTCTCTCTTGATGTCTCCAGAGAGCAACGCAATCACGGAGCCTTGCGTCCCATCTTCAACCAAAAACCAACCTGGTCCAAGCTGTCAACCACACTCAATGCCGACTTACCTATGCCTGTTGTACGGGCCTGCTCCCAACTATCATTGTCTTCCATCCCCGTGAGCGAACCTTGTCGCGGCGTCAGAGCACACCCGCCGCGCCTGTGTGTTGCCACTTGCCAGCTGCGGGCGAGCATTCGTCGCCGTCGCCGGCCGACCTCGACGGTCCGAGGGCCTTTTCCTTTCCTTCTTTCTTTTTGTTGACCCGTGACGTTGTCCAGCCATGAGACAGCTCAAGTCGACGCTACCGTCATCGCTCGTGCGTTTTGATTCATCATCCATAACCTCCCGCTGCTGCGTGCGTGTGGCTTCGCGGGCGGGGGAGCAGCTGGAATCGCGACAATATATCAAACAGTCGCCAAGTATGCATCGCCGCACTGGAAACTTGTGATGACCTCTTGGCATAATGCGTCGGGTCAGAGAAGACGTCAAACGTCAGACCCAGGCAACTACAATGACCGGCAGCGACACCATCGTCGTCATCATCGCCAAGGCATTCGAACTACAGTAGCTCAAGCCATACTTTGTGCAATCTGAGAATGATTGTATTCAGTCTTGTTTTCTAGGGCTTTTTTTTTCCGTTTCTTTTTCCGATTCAGCCATGACCTCCCCGAATTTTTGGCCGTCACGTCGTCGGACCAAAGTACAAATGACTAAACGCAGAAAAATCGGCTCAGGGGCCTTCCTTTTGCTCGACGCAATGACACTGCTTCAAGATGCTTGTCAACTAAGCCATACTTGCCCAGTTCGCATCTTGTATATCAAAAGGTTAAGTTGCTGTAACTCTACCCCGCCGCGTCAAGGACCCCCGATCCTGCCCATTCCTTTTCGTGACCCAGATGCAGTTTGTAAGAAAGAGCCTAAATTGTGTAGACACAGAACAATATAGAAAAGGAGAAGGCGAAAAAAAGGTTCCAGAGTGGTGTGGTGGTTGTGCGTGAGCGAGGTCATCGCCAAACGAAGAAAGAATTGTGTGCAGAAGAATGAAAGTCGGCACACGCAAGGCAACGCAGCATCCTCGCGTCTGCCCCACGCCGCAAAATGCAAACACTGAAATAGAAAACCCCCCCGTCGTGTGATTCTACCCCCTTCCCCCGAGGGCCTCCGGGCTGAGCCATTCCAGTTGAACCCATAAACGCCAAACCCTTTCGAAACTAAAACTCAAGGAAACGATGCAGTCTGCGTGTCGCTGTTGTCCCCGCTGAACGCCTCGCTGTCGGGAAAACAACTGGATAAAAAAAGAAAAAGAAAAAAAAAAAGACAAAGAAGGGAGAAAGAAAATGATCCATCTTGTTTGGAAACGCCCCAACCGGCGTGGGCTTCGGCGGCGCTCGGCCCCGTGAAATTCTCTTCGCCGCCATGTGCAATCTCGTTCTACTGGTACCCCAACAAGCCTGACCTTTCCAAGGGCCGCGGTGTTGGCTCCTCATCCGCAACATCTTCTCGGCTGGTCGGTTGCGGTCTCGGCGTCTCGTCGACGTCGGGGGCACTAGACTTTTCTTCCGCGTTGACACCGCTGTCCGGAGGCGTCCGCGTGGATGCATCCCGTAACATCTCGTACGAAGGCATGTCAATTTCCTTCGAGGGTGTGACAACTTGAGTAATGGGTTCCGGAGTGCTTTCCGATCCAATCGTGACACTGTCGTGGCTATCGGCTCTCATCATCTCAATTCCGAGTTTTGAACTAGGCAGTAGCGGCTTGCCCCGGAATAGCTTATCTCGACCAAGGCCGAGCTCTTCGTCCTCGTCGTCGGCCGAATCTGTTCCCTCGGCGAGGCGCTTCTCTATGTGCTCTTTCCTTGCCTTCAGCTTTTCCACAGAGTGCTGCGGCGCTGACCTCCGGGTGTGCTCCAGTTGTCCCGGTGCGGACTGCTGTGTGACAAGTGTTGGCAGAGACTTGGGTGAGTTCACTGGGGGCGCGCTCTCGTCCTGGGTAATGCCCAGTCCGCCTTCGCTCCAGTCGCCCGTGGCCTTTCGGCTGATGACCACCGGTACATCATCAGTTGACACCGACTCGGAGTCTCCGAAAAGGCTGGAGCTGATAGAGTCCTCTCTACTCGAAGTTACCAGACTGCTGCCCGGCCGTCCAGCGTACAAAGACGAGCTTGAAGTCGGGCTGTCGTCCGCTCGAGAACTAGTCTGACGAAGACCAGATGGAACGGGTTGTGAGTGTCCCAAGGACATCGAGTAGTTGATGCCGGGCGACTCTGGTTTCCACTGGCAGAGATTCTTAAGTACCTCGGTCAACTTAGAACTCGAGATCGGCTTCTCGACCAGGGAGTCGAAGTAATGAGGTGCTTGTAGCTCTTTCAAATAGGCTGTGATGGCGACAATTGGCGTATGGGAATTGGTGTTCTTGGTCTCCCGAATCATCCGAGCCACATCAGCGCCGTTGATCTGAGGCAACCTATACTCCAAGAAGATAATGTCGAATTTGATCTCGCTCATAGCGTATCTCACGGCCTCGGACCCGTTGGCCACTGAAATTGTTCGACAACGCAACTTCTCAAGCAGTTTTTCCATCACCATGCGAGACACCGGATGGTCCTCACAGATCAGAACGTCCAGTGGTCGGAACATTGGGCCGCCATCAAAGGCGATTTGAGAAAGGCGGCGGGAGCTCTGGCGGCGCCGCTGCACCCGAAGAAGCGCATTATGTTTGTCGCCCTCGTTATCGGACGAAGAAGGAGACATGTCAAATACCTGGCTACGACGATTGCGGTGGTGCGAGAGCACATCTGCAGCGATTGGGCTGCCTTCTTGGGAACCCACAGTCAAGGACCTTGATCGACTGCTCGAGGCTTGTCTGGGTGTCGATACCAGTTTCTGAGGCGACAGGGCCAACGGCGGCGGAGGCCCTGAGCCGCGCCCCTTTACCGGAGAAGCAGCCGCACTCGTCGCCGCCTTCTGCAAGCTGGGCGGAACCCGGGGTATGTCAAGGGACGTAGGCTGATGAGACACGCCGGATTGTTGCGAGAGACTCGAGGAGTTGCTGGATACCTTGCGTCTTCCTTCACTGCCTTGGCCAGCAACAAAGGAGACGAGCAAGGGTGATGAGGGTTGAGAAGCCCTGCTAGGGGACGAATTGGCGTGACTCAACCCAGAAGGTGATTGTGGCCGGTTTTTCGCATTCGAAATCGTGCGCTGGACCGGGTTAGACAGCACGGGGCTGCCCTCAAGGTTGGCACCAGGCGAGGTGACGCTCCCGCCGGGGCTGATGACGGTCGGCTTGTTCTGGGACGCCAACGCCTCTGCGCGGAGTTTTTGAATCACATCCTTGTTGGCCTTCTCCAACACTGGAAGGTTCTTGAAGGTGAAACTGCCGAAGTCATCTGCTACGACGGGCTCACTGAGCCGCCTGCTCTTCAAGTCCCTTACGTGCGGAGGGATGTGAAGTGGCATCAAGTTGCGTTTGATCGAGTTAACCTGAGATCGGACACGAGATAAAGCATCGTGCGGTCGATCGTGGTAGTCGGAGCCTGTACCAGAAATAGGCGGCGACAGCTGATCTTCCATCTCCTCGGCAAAGGACTGCAGGACGGCTCCACGGGCATCGAAATATTCGGTATCTTCAGGGTGCTCGAGTTGTGGCACGAACTGCGCTTCGTCCTGGAGCAAAGTCTCCCAGTTGATAGCCTCGAACCAAGGGTGACTGCGGATCTCATCACCGCCGCAGGGGAACTTATCCTCTCGGTTGGCCCCAAGTCGTGACTGGGGTTCCATGCAGAGCAATTTGTTGATGAGATCCTTTGCCTCGTCGGAGATGGGTTCGCACTCGTTCTCATCGGGCCACTGGATCTTGCGTGCGAGAATGTTCTCAAAGACTTCTTCTGCTTCGTCGGCGTGGAAGGGCGGGAAGCCGTAGAGGAACTCAAACATGATGCACCCAACAGACCACCAATCGCTCGTCTCATCCTGCTTTTCGCCCTTGATTGTCTCGGGGGCCAAGTAGTCGGGTGTTCCAACGAACCGGCGGTTGGTGTCTTCCGGATCGAACAGAGCCATCGGAGGCGGCATCATGGATGACTGAGGAGGTGTGCTCTTGCCCAGGAAGTCGACACTAGATTGGGTACTGGCGTGATGGAGTACCGCCATGTCTGGAGAGGCCTGGCCAGCGCTGTCATTTGCATCTTCCGGGACCGGGTGCGAACTTTGGGTTGGCGGGTTGTGCTCTTGGTCGTTCAGTGAAAAGCTGTTGAGCATGCGCGCGAGGGTCTCGCTGCCGCCACTATCGCTACGATGGCTCGAGAGACGTCGGGCCTCCGGACCTCCCAGGGCGAAGTATGAGGGCTGCCCGCCAGTGGAGCCAGTATCAGGTGTCATCTGCGGCGTCGTGCTGGGCGAGTGGGCATGGCCGTGAAGATCCAGCGAGGTGGAGCGGGACGATGCCAACGACGATGAACGTGCGAACGGGCCCTGCTTGAGGAGATCAGGCGTGGGATCCGAGTTTTGGCTGTCAAGCGCCCGCTTTTGTCTTCCGACCAAGCCCATGCGTGACAAGCCGAAATCAGTAAGCTTCAAGTGGCCTTTCTGATCGATAAGCAAGTTATCTGGCTTCAAGTCGCGATGGATGATGCCCCGGCTGTGAAGATGTTCCACGCCGAGAACTACTTCCCCGAGGTACTTCTTAACCCACTCTTCCGGAAGACCGCCGAGCACCTTGATGAGGGATGCGCAGTCGCCGCCATTGAGATATTCCATGACGAGATAGAGGTAGTCCTTGCTGGAGAAAGTCCAATAAAGCTTGGCGACAAATTCGCTCTGGCCTTGCCACATCATGATGGCGCGTTCAGCCTTGACATTACCAACCTGGTTCTTGGCAACCATGTCGGCCTTTTTCAGGACCTTGATAGCAAAGTACTCTCCCGTCGACTTCTTCTTTGATAGGTAAACACTGCCAAAGGCTCCTTTGCTAATCGGCTTGATGATCTCGAAATCCTTGATCGACGGAGGCGACGGTCGTGCTTGCGGCGGAGGCTGGTGGGCTGCCATTCTTGGGGATGGGGGGCCCTTCATGACGAACTCGGACATCGCTGTCGAGGACTGTCGGCGGTGGTGGCTCACCGGCAAATGAGCTGGCGAGCTGAAGTCACTTCCGGGTAGCAGCGGCGATGCTTCAGGGGACGTGACGCCATCTTGGGAGAACGGGAAGTTGCGCGGCTTGATGATACGGAGTGGAGATGATGGCTGGTTGAGGCGCGAAGGCGATTCTTGCCTTCGGGGTGATGAGGCACCGGGCAGGATGATGCTCCGACGATGGTGTTGTCTGGAGCTTGCCGCTCGGCGGAGGTCCCCAAACTCGGATATCGGGGAGTCGGTACGGGGTGGCTGACGCGAGGTCACTGAAGATGAGCGGATACTTCCATCGCTGTCTCCATTGTCACTCTCGAAGAGCAACGATTCTCGCCTGGACTCACGAGCAGGCGCCGCTGGGTTGATGCCTCCCAAATTGGATCTCGGCGTCAGGCACTCTCTCGGGCTGCTCGACCGTGCCGATCCCACGAAAGAGGTGGGCCGGATTCTGTCTGCGGTATCGTTGAGACTGACACTCTGTAGCGCAACTGCGAGGGCAGAAGGGCTATCGAAGGAACCCTGGAAGAACAGTTCCTCGTGTGCGGGCGTGGCCTCCTCGTCTTCTTCCTCCTCCTCCTCGGTGGAGTCGCTAAGACGTCCGGCAGCAATCCGGGCCGCTTTCCGCATTGCCTCATCGATGCAATCCTGAACGATGACGGCGAACTCGATCCTGATGCGCTCAGCATATTCGATGATCTTGCGATGTCTGAAGACAGCTTCCACCTTCGTCTTGGCGGCTTTTTCGGTGTCAGCGCATAGCAGAGCAAGGCCCTGCTCCTGTTCCAGCGTGTTAGTGCTGGGTGACTGCCATTGCATAACCTGTGAGATGCGAGACTCGGACTGGGGAGATTGGGTCCTGATCTCGCCAGTGTTCTGCGAAGAAACCTCCTTCACCGCCGGAGTACTGATCTCAATCGCAGTATCACAGAGGTCAAGGAGCAACTCCACAATTCTTGCCTGGGGACGTCGAATGGCAAAAGAACGAGCTCGCGAGTGTCCGAAGCCACTTGATCTTTCCCGAGACTGTGACACCGAGTTTCCGGGAGATGATTGGGCCGATAGGGGGGGGCCGATCGGCAGGCCCTTGTACTCGGCAGCTGGACCGGAGAGCTGATCCCCTGGCAGTGGTCTGCTTTTTCTTGCTTCGAGGGCATCGAGAACCTTGACAATGGAGTGTCGGTGATCGGTCAAACTGTCTTGTGCCATCTGCACATCCATCTCCGCCCTGTGCTCCTGCAGACACAAATCGGTGTGCTTTTCAAACCACCAAGGCGAGATTTGCCGCTCGCAAATTCGGCACAAGACCGGCAGTGGCGGAGGATGGTTTTGGGGATCGTCGACGCCGGACTCGGCCAGCTGCGTAAGGTAGCTCGCAAGGACTTCGGCGCCAGATCCAAGAGAGTCAACTATGAGAGCGGGAAGGTCAATCTTGATCTCTCTAGGCGCGATATAGGGCCGAATCATCCACATTGTCTGATACGCACAACATTTAGCAAACGGACACGGTTACGAACAATGATATTTGCACTTACGTGGCTCTCTCCTCCCGAGACTCCGTCGTAGACCATGATACCCTGGGCTTCCAGGTCGATAGCCTCGAGGGCGGGCTTCTCGGCTCCATCGAGATCCTGGTCCTGAACAATGTCGATGGGCAATAACCTGGACAATGGGCCCATCGCTACTGCGAAGCGGACTCTCTGGCTCCGGGAGTCGTCTTTCTTCATCGATTCCACGGTATCCGCGAAAACCGTCTTATTGTCGCTGACAATCAGGTCGGCTATCGCAGTACCTTTCACGGAATCGGACTGAGTGCCAATCACATCGGCCCATGACGGGCTGACCCAGCGGATGGTGCCGTCGAGGTTGAGATCAACAATCACATTCAGCGTCTGCTCGGCAGCCTCTCGCAATTCCTCTCTTTCTTCTCGGATATCTTCGCTCAAAGATCGCTCCATGACGCCGGCCTGTGACCGAAGGGCGGTCACGGCCGGGGGCGCCAACATGTTGGGTTGCGGTGGTTCCATTGTGTGAGGGAGGCGGGTGAAATCCCCGGTTGTGGCGATACCATTGGCCGAAGTGATTCTTCTCGGCGAGCGAGGACTGTCTGAATGGCGTTTGTTCGGGTTCGCACGCAAGAATGTTGCGGCTTGTGCAAGTCGCGAATTGGTTCAGCTCGGGAGAAAACCGAGCGGAAGCCAGGTTGTCTGGCAAAGGGCCAAGACTACAGGCAAGCCAAATCACCAGACATGACGGGTACCTAGGTAGGCTGTTTCCAAGTGCGAAAGGCGAGTGAGAGGGCCCTGGTGATCGACCACAAGGCGCTGCCCACTGCGCTGCAGAGGTTCGGAAGACGACGTCCAAGGTGTTTGGCAGCGAGCGAGTGAGGCGTTTGAGTCGAGCAGGAGGGTACGTGGTTTCGGAAAGGCGGCGCACTCGAGGTGATATGAAAAGGAGTGATCGAGTGCAGGTAGTGCTGCCAACCTGGGTCGGACGCTTGACAGCCTCCGTGTCTAGTCGAAGCTGGGACGTGACAGGAAGGGGTCGACGATAGGGGGAGAGCGTGCGCGAGGATTGGCGTGTCCGTTTGGAACAGGAGCTCGCGATTCCGTTTCCGATGGCCGTCCTGGGACCTTGCGTATCGTCGTCAGACAGAACAGGAAAGAGAGAGGGGAGAGAGAGAAGGAAAAAAGAAGAAAAAAAATAGAGAGCCAAGGGAACAGCACAGGCAAAGTTCACGGCGCAGGGTGGCCCTTTGTGATGATGGTGTCAGTCACACATTACCGTCCTTGCCCTCTGCCTTCTGCGTTAGCACTCAGCACCACTGCTATCAGAGCGACGCTAAGGTAGGTACTTGGAAGGTACAGAGCAAGAGTTAGTAGTCGTCGGCGGCCCGCCCATAGCAGAGGAAAAACATCCACGATTGAGCAGTGGTCGCGTCCTCCTAATTATGGGGCACCCAGCGCAATTGAGTGGTCGTGGTGGACGGATTAAGCGGGGAAGGGGTCCTCTTTGACCAATCACACAGGGACTCGCTAGGAGGGACCTAGTCTGTGTACATGCATGACACGCCAAATCTGGGTGCAAGGCAGCGTACCTATACTCAAAGCAGTCTAGTGCCCTTTCGGAGTTAGGTTGCTCGCTAAAACACGAGCGAGAAGTCTGGGAGTTGGGTGTGACTTTGTTTGTTTTTTTGGGGGGGAGGGGGGGAGGAGGAGAGGCAGTCCAGAGGGGAAAGAGCAAGGAGAAGGAGAAAGCGGAGAGGGGCTTCAAGCAGCCAGTCCCATCAACATTCGAGGCGGTACCAGGTACCAGAGCACATTGAATATTGGATGAGACGGGACGGACTGGACACTGGCCATCCCGCTGGGGGCACTTGGGGGGGGGGGCATTTGATCACGCCTTGCTGAAGGGGACTTGTTAGGCAGCAAATCATGGGGCCACTCGGAGGTTTTTTGTCCGTGGAAACATACCACCTAGACCGCCAGCTAGGCAAAAGCTGCCAAGCCATTGATTACTTCGATCTGGACTCTTTTCTGTACTTCTTATCTTCCGTCTTTACCTGTTTATTCTACCCGGCGGCACGTCTTTTGGTATGGATGGTGTTGTCTAGGTACCTACATAGACACACATTACCTAAGGGAATCAGGTAGGTAGGTCATAGTACATATCCCTATTGCTTAGGTAGGTATCCGTAGGTAGGTCTGAATCAACTTCCCTTCCTCATGAGCCCACCTCATTTGTCTGGATACCTAACATTTCAGGCAAACGCTGCACGGGAGGGGATGGAAGGAAGAAGAAAACGACGACAGCAGACAAACGAGGTTCTGTCTCTCACTTTCCAAGGAACAGGGCGTAGATCAACAACGACCACGCAAGAAATCGTGCATCAGGGACGCACAATCATGCATCCGGTCCCTTTCCTCACCACTATTGCCTCATCTGGGCTCATATCTTATGTATTTTGCTCGGATCTGGTCCTGCTTTCTTGCTTTCTCGTACCATTCATTCCACCTCCACTTTTCCGTCTCTCATACCAACAATCGGCACACAACCGATACATACATATATTGGGCAATCGAATGTTTTCGTCTCCTGGGTGCTTCGTTTTTGCCTTTACATCTGACGCATGATACACACGCGGTACATAATCAAATGCGGGCGACCCCAGTGTCTTGACGCCAAGGGAGAGAAGCAGAAACAACACCACAAAGTTTGACACTGCCACATGGGAAACTTTGCCCCTTCGCCTCAGTCGTGCTAGTTCAACATGCCTGCTACCTGCAAAATGCCATCCGTGCCCGCTCGCTGCGGGCTCGGAGATTCACTTGACTACTCCGTACATAACTGGGCCCTCTTCAAGGGTCCAAATGCCAAATCCCATTCTGCAAACACGGATATCCCATCCTTGGGCTCATGCACTTCAACCACTTCAATCCAGTCTGCCGACGCCAAAGCCAAGGTCACATTCCCTTACGCCTCCAGAGTAGACAACAGCTTCTTCTCTAAAACGTAGGCCTCCTCTCTCTCTGTCTCTCTTTTTCTCTCTATCCCTCTCTCTCTCTCTCTCTCTCACACACACACACACACACACACACACACACACACACGCATAAGACCAGCCCTCTAGACCGACAAAGAAAAACTATTCACGGCTCCTCGTCTGCCATAGATTGATCGCTTGCCTATTGTTAATCCACCTGGCCGCCATCTATGTTGTCCAAGTCTCCCCTAGGAGACCTACCTGAGCACCAACTGGGGCAGCAGCGTATTGAGACGCTGCATGCCAGCCCAGTCCCCAAGGGGACTAACTAACATGCCGGCTAGGTGACACTTGCATTGGGTCCTCCCGTCCCAGTCTTTCCATGCCATCGTAGTAAGACACCATCAGGTGGTCTCCCAGTCCCAGGCCCTTCTTCTGTGGTCAGGGGGTTATCCTCTCGACACCCACCACCCTGGCCGCAACGCAACCTGGGTATGCGGCTTTGCTCTGGCCCTATCGTAACACGCAACGGCCTCTTCGTACGCGCTACTCGCAAAATAGTGTACTGTCGCATCCGCGGCACAACGGCACCTCTGCCTGTTGGGCCCGACCCAAGGAAGTAGCCAGAAAGATATCCGCAGTACCTACTATGTAGGCTACGCGTTCAGTCAATGTAAATGTAGTGCATGCAGCCCGCGGGGCTCCTGCTCCTGGATCACCGCCGCGCACGTCCAAGTCGGCCACCCCCTCCTTCGTCTTGCGGAGGGCTGCGGATCCCTGTGAGGGATGGGCAGATCGTCGATGGGATCATCCCAGACGGGTCCCTTCGAGAATGCAAACGACTTGGCTCAGGCGGCCACTTAGCACTGCGTTGATCTGCATTGGGCCGGCCTCCTTTGTCCGAGATGTCTCGGTTTTTGAAGAAAAGGCGGCAGAGATGTTGGAGGCGCGTCCTGGAGTATAATCAACTGGCCAGACCGGCTCCGACAGAGCTAGGGGCGAGTGGGGTTCAACGCGTACCTTTCGATTGTCAGTTGTCAACCAAAGACACACGCGCCAGGCCCGAGTCTCAAGATCCTTCGGGACAACATGGGCTCTGTAGTGTGTCTGCAACTCGCCTGGCTGGGAAACGAGACTCACACGCCACCCTTGGTCACCCAAGTTACGTCAAACGGCGTTGGCAGAGCCTCTTGATAAGCCGAGAATCGCTTCGTGGTGTATAAATAGTATCATGCCTTCTTGGTTGACTCCTTCATCTCATATGTATCGTTCATTCAACCTCTCGCCGGCTTTAAAGGGACTCGCAAGGCTCGGCGAAGACATGCGTTTTCTCGCTGCTGGTTGGCTTGTCAATAGATGCATACACCACCGCATACGGGTACCACACACACAAGATCTTGGGTGCGTTTTGGCTTCATGGCTAATACAACCACAGGAAGGACAGCGGCTTAGCAACCCTCCCGTACAACTTTTTGTGTAACATGCTCCGGCCTGCAGCTGCATTCTCGCCTGCATCTGTTCACCGGTGTTCTGCCTACTGACTCTGCCGACTCTTTGCAGTGAGTTGAACCGGGACCTTCCCACATATCCGCAAGTCACAAGCCATAGTCAAGGGTGCCAGAGGTGATGGCATGTGCTTCGTAGTACCGCGCGGAAACGCAGCCGGCAGTCGACGACTGATATGTAAGCTCTCAAGGACGTCATCGAACGCCTTGCATGTCGTGGGACGGTATGTGAGTTGTCAGCGGAGCAAAAAGGGGGGTGGGCATCATGGTCCCGAAGTCTCCAGGACAACGGTAAGGAAAACGTGCTCCATACGCCGTTCTAGGTGATAATGATCCACAGGAGAGACTTGGGCGAGACAGGCTGAAGTTGAAGCTAGCCAAAAGCACGATTGAAGGCGTCGAGAACCGTTTCGACTACAACGGCAGACAGCAGCCCGCTGGCACCCCCATCTCTCACACCGTCCATGTGAGGTGTGACAAACGCATAGGTATGTCGTGGCCACCCACCGCCATGCTACACACACCATATACATGGCAGTAAGGCGTCACTCACGTCCAGTTGCTCTCCCTGCATCCCACTCGGATTTGCATAGGTTGAGAGATCAACCCCCAAGCCCAAAGCCCCCTTCCAAACGCCCGCATTAAGACTACCGCCCGCATGATGTCGCCAATCCCGTCACCCCTGGCCTAACCATCCAATCGGCGGCAAACCCCAAGGATCTCTCTCACAGCGCAATGATATACATAGTATGTAAGTAGTATGCATCCAAGTGCATCCATTCCCAAGCACCGAATCACCTCAGTTTCTCCATGCGGGGTGGGTGCTGCAGCGCAACAACCTCATTCCCCCGCCTACCTCGTGTTTGCTTCAGTCTCTTCTGTTATTCAATGTTTTTGGCCTTGTTTTCTGGTTTCGTCGACTAGTGCGGAATACACATCTCTTGTTACAGTTGCTTTGCTGTCTTACCCAGCCCATCCGAGCTTCTTCGTCATCCCGACGATCCTTGCCTTTCAAACATGCCTCATGCTCCCCGAACGCTGGCCTCCCGCGCACCCCCCTCCTCCCTCCCCGTTGAAGCAATAGTCGACATATGACAGAATTTCTCGGTAGCAGCCTTCAACGTTTCGCGGGCAAGGTAGCGGCGCTGAATCGAGGTTCTTCCTTCAAACTGGGTTGTCCACTGCGCACACGCGGAGCGGCCCCGTTCAAGGAACATGCATCCCCCGTCTCACGCCTTGCGAAACAGCTGGTCTGTTAGGCCTGGCCAATCGAGCCCCCATTCTCACCCGGCCACTGATTATCCCTTCAGCTCTCTAGTCGGCAGATCGCGCAGATGTTGGTGATGATCAATCGAAAAGTAGATATTCCTGCAAACAATCAACGCAGTCTCGACTAGGTCGGGTGCCTTGAGCGAACTGTTCATCCCAAGCACAAGCGCTCTCCCTCCTTCTCTCTCTTTCCCACCCTTTCTCACAGTCTCGTCCAAACTCAGCGGTTCCGGAGCCTCGAGAGAGCTCGAGTGCGGTCTACCAATATCGTATGCTCGTTGAGACATTCCACAGCCTTTCATCCCAACCAAAGCACGAGCATGCCAGAAGCCCTGGCGCTCAGTGTCGTCTGCCGGGCTTAGCCCCTCTTTGTTGCAACCCCAGACAACCTTGACGACTCAGGCGGCTGCATCTCTCTCTCTCTCTCTCTCTCTCTTTGAAGTCGGAGCAGTAGGCATATATCCGTAGCTGATTGGAAGTCATTAACTCAGATCCATCCATGACCTCGCCCCATGCCACTTACAAAGCCCAGCTCTCGTTCCGCCTCTAGGGATGTGTAATGCCCATGGACTGCCAAGTCAGTTGGCCAAACCACCGCCTTGACCTCCCGCCCCCTTCCACCTGCAGCTGGATGGTTCGATATATTCTGGACAGTGGATCACCTAGGGTCTGGGACAAGCGAATGTCTTGTTCCGCGCGGTCCGAAGCTTTCACTTACACGGAACCCCAGGCCAGTCGAGATGCAAGATGTGCTTGGCTTTTGTCTGGATCTGGGCCACCTTAGAAGGCACCACCTACAATTGTAGAGCTAGTGTGGTACCTGTGGATCTACAAAGGCACTCGGAAGTCTGATCGTCGCGAAAAGGATGTTCTCACCCTTGGACTGGAGGGGCGCATGGTTCATTCTTCTCAACCTGTCGTTGCGGGAATTGACTTTGCGGGCAGTGGGAAGGTTGTGCTACGCAAACTTTGGGGCCCCGATGGCTGTTCTAGGTAAATCTAGTTTTGTGGTCAAGTCATCAACCTGCAGCCGCTTTTGGCTTGCGGGAATGCAAAGGATGTCAGCAAACTCATATTTCGCGTCGCTTAGGTAGACCAGGTCGGACGGCTCGTCCCCAAACCTCGGGAGCGGCAGGGGTTCCCACCGAATCTTCCGTCGTAGACTTCAGCACTTCATAAGATATCAGACGCGCCTACCCAACATCAAGATACGTTTAGGTTCCGACTTTTTGTCTCAAGGCCGAGGGTTGCGTAGCATCTTGGCATATTTCTAGGTACAGGAGGTCCCAACTAATCCACCAGCGAGAGGTGGTTACCTACATTGAAGAATTGGCCAACTGAGGGGCGGCTGGCAATGTCTTACTCCGACACACGGCTGGCGAGGGCTTGCCCCGTCCTGGCACCCATGATTGATGTACGGAGTATCCGTACCGGTATGCCATTGAACGGTAGGTAGACCAATGGCCCCTCATGGCGTTCCCTCGGTATTTGCCTACTAGTGTGGTGCTATCACTTGTGTTTTGCAAAACGTGTTGAGTTCGATTCAGCGTTTTTGTGTGTGTGTGGAAATGCCATAACTTGGGAGAGCCTTGTCCAAAGTGGTACGGCTGCTTAGGTAGTTCTGTTTTCCGCGGACTGCGCGATGGATTGAAAGGCTCGCACCCTCAATCTGCACCCCGTTGCAGTCCAGACGGCCGTAGGTTAGTGATTGAGCGATTGAGTGTGCGACCAAACTCTGTTTGACTGATTGCCCATCAGATTACCCATAGCCCCTCGGAGGAGGGAAGCCCCCTCCCCCCTCGGAACACAGGGTTGGGTAAGGAAGTCCAGTGCATGCCGGTCTTTGATACAATTCTAGTAGCCCTTGATCTCAGGACGTAATGCCCGATCGCAAGGAGCAGTGCCGTAGTTGATTACCGCAAACACTCGTTAGATCCGGACAAAGCTAAGAAGCCTACTAACGGTAAGGGGTATTGCGGCCGCTGTAAATAGTATAGTGTGCCGGCAGCAACAGGGATCTGTATATATCTATTTTCTTACGTAACAGTTGTGTTCTTACTAACGGCGGGCTGGCTGGTAGGCAACAGAGGGTGGAAAGGGTGACCGCCTTTTATGTAAGGACTAGCGTATCTCATACTCACTAGCTGCTATAGGCCATTCACTAGCTTTCTTTGGCTAGCGGGTTTATTAGCTTTGTCCGGATTTCACGAGTGCCTACGGTATGCCTACGGTTCTGCAAGCTAAGTGATGAGAATCAACCAAAAAACACTGGGAGGTCTCAATTCGAGAAGCCTCAGCAAACGATCCAAGCGAGCTCTAGCGTGCTCGACCCATTACATAAGCACATTTAATGCCTTTTCCCTGTAGCAACAACGGCAAATGAACAAGAAACATGATCTAGTATTACACCTCCCATGGCACCAATCATGCTACAGGGCACCGAAACACAACTGGCGACGGCGACGGCGGCAGCGGCGGCCATGATGACGGGGACTCCCGCCTCCGACATCACCCAACCGTCAACGGTATCCGCTACAGCCGTCTCACGAACGCTTACACCACCCGCCGTTGCCGTCCCGGAAGGCGTGACAGTGGTCTATGCGGAACGCAAGCGGACCGGCCGCATCGCCGGCGCAAAGTACAAAGCCGACGGCACGCCTTACAAGCGCTCCGGCCCGCCGCCGAAGCCGCTGCACGAGAGGACAGCATACAAGCAGCGCGTGCCGGTGAAGCGGATAGAGCGTTCGTACACGGAGCAGCGGAAGAAAGAGGTGATTGCGTTCCTGGAGTGTCACAAGCTCGCGTGCGACGACATCGATGCGCCAGCGCGGCGTAACCGCGGGCGGGCGGAGCAGCAGCCGCCAGCGGAGAAGGGGTACCGGTGGCCCACTCTCTCCGAGGCGTCGGAGTGGTTCAAGGTGCCCGAGGGGACGATCCACGGCTGGTGGCAGAGGAGGGACAAGATCATGGGGAGGGTGCCGAAGAAGCCAACCAGGGTCGAGCAGAGGCGGCTGGCGGAGGAGGAGGAGAGGAAGAGGAGGGAGGACGAGGACAGGCGGACGCTGCTGGAGGCCATTGGTTGGCCAGCGGAAAGGCTCCCTTCTGGCACTTCCGGGACTCCCAGTACTCCTCGTGCTTCAGGTGCTTTTATTAGTGGCGACGACGGACCAGGAGAGGCGATGGAGTGCGTTGGAGGACCTTCCCGGTCAGTCCCCGGACGACAAGAGACACCAGAGGGTGTGCCAATGCAGGGGGGAAGGGTAAAAGAGCCTTTGGACGTGGAAAGGGTATCGTCATCGGGAGAGACGCCTCCCGCCGCAGGGCCGGCCGCTTTCTCGGAAGGATCGGCAGCCGGCGGCACATCTGCCACGAGCACCCCCGCTGCCACACCCGGAGAAAATTGACGAGGGGGACCCGTTCCGGCGGCAGCGATACCGGCGTCTCCCGGTCATGAAATTCCCACGAGAGGTTAGCGACCCCGTCTGGACGGGCTCCTCGAGGTGAAAGGGCCTCGTCGACGATGATGGGAGACGCCGGAAACTCGCAGTCCGAGCCTGTCGCCTAGGGGCTAGTCAGATGGGGCATGCATGGTAGAGGAGAAGGGACACCTGTGGTCACGGAGGAAGCATCACGTCGTCAGAGGCGAAAAGGATATGGGACAGTGGATTAGGGAAGAGGCTTCCCGTCGGTCGAACGTATGCGGTCAGCACGGAGTTAGTGATACCAAAGAATGGGATAATGTGGATTCGGGCATGGTATTTGTAACAATACATGATGCCACAGCGGGAAGATGGTTGTTCTCATTGAAGATAGGGCATGCTTCGACTACTCAACGGTACCGAGCTTCGTGCCATGTACTAGGTACCTACAAAAGAGAGGAAAGAAGAAAACCGCTTTCAATGTTCTTCGATAAGAGATGTCGGTCTGTTGTCAAGTTCTCAATGATCTGCCCGTGATTACAGGATGCGGTGCGACAGAATGTCCGTTAGAGGTGACCACCAAGCATGGGGCCACGGGCAAAACGAGGCAGAGAAGAGACTTCGCGTGCCATATCCCAGATTACGTGCAAATGACAAGTCCACGCCAAGAACAGGCCCAGTCCAGTGATGCTCAAGGAAGAGAAGGGCCTGGGACAGATAATGGATAGTGGAAAGACAACCCCCCTTATCTCGGTAAATTAACAGTTCTTATTTGCGCCTGCTGCACCAAAACTCGTAGGCCGAGTCGTCGTTGTCCGATTACCTGTTGGCAAGGTATTCGCCATTCGCCATTCGCATCTTGCATCTGTCGCTGACAGCACGATGCCATTGCCGGCTAACGCATCGCGTTTCAGTACCTCTGCTGCAGACGGGCGAAGAGCAAGTGCAGCACCCTGCGACATTGTATTGCCTCGAGGAAAGTAGCCCAGGGTGTACACACGTCCGTCTTCCTTGATTGCAGCTTCTCGATAATTACACGACAGCACAACAGCCCAACTACATGACAACACGCCAACCGTCCTTTGGACAATTGTGTCCGATCCAGTAATATCTCGCCTCGATCTCGACGTCAAAGTTCACAGACCCAGCAGTCTGGGACGAAGAGAATTATGCCAGGATCCCCTTCCTCACCTTGACGTACTGGAATCGGAGAGTTTCATGCTGTCGACTCCCATTCCGCCTTCTTCAGGTCCAGCCATTCTCCCTTCTCGACCCAGAGGTTCTCGAGCCACTTGGCCAGTTTCTCGTCGTCTTGCGGCAGAGTCTCGAGGGGAAACCTGCGGACGTGGACATGGAACTTGTAGCCCAGTCGAGAGCTCAACCCTGGCACGCTCAGAGTGTCCCACATTCTCGGGGCCTCCATGAACTCGCTCCCTCTCTGGTAGGCAATTGTAAAGTCATACACGGCCTTCACATGAGGGGCCTTCCTGAGATGCTGCACTGTGGTAATAAAACCTTTCGTGCGAGGATACAGCAGGTGCTTGGGCTGTGGCTTGCCCGACTCCTTGCACCACACGAGCGACTGCTCGTATTTCTTCTTGGTGAAGCGAGTGGCCTCGCTGAAGCTAATGAGCCCTGTTCCTCGGTGAGTCCATGTCCTGCGACGCCCCGTACGAGGCTGCCTGCTAAATCACTTACAGGTCGGCCATTGTCTATTCACGATGCCAGCAAACACCCTGTCAAGCTCGTGCCTGTCCTTGGCCCAGTTGCGGCTCACCATGGGCATGCCCATCGCCCACAATCCCCAACCGAGGAACGGGACGATCCGTAACTGGATCTTGGCAAAGTAACGGCATCGGCTCAGCATCCTGGCCTTGATCGCAAGAGCCTGGATCATGTAGAAGTCAGCCCACCCGACATGGTTGACGACCACAACCGCCGACTCGCCGGGCGGGATTGCATCGCCGGAAAACGTGAGATTGGCGCCGTTGAAACGCTCAAAGATGACCTGGATCCAGTACCACACGGTGACGGCGATGCGCGAGGACGAGTTGTAGACGAAATCGGGAGCGAACCATTTCAGAGGCAACTGGAGGGAGATGGCCGTGTCAGCCAGCAGCAGCCAGAGCACCCAGGGGGCCAAGATGGCGGCTCCCCGGAGGTGAGTGAGCACGTTGCCGTGGCCAGCCATTAGTAGCGGTGTGGTCGAAGACGGGAGAAGTCTCCAGATGGAGGGAGGGGGCTCCGAAAGCGAGACGGCACGGCACGGTAAGACTTGGAGTGGTCGTGCGAGAAATCGCCGGTATCGCGCTTTAGAATCTCTTGTTGCAGGCTGGCGACGTCCCAAAAAGAAAAGCAAGAATGCTGGAATGCTGGGCCGTGGGGTGAAGCGAGTCGAAGCGCGGCAGCAGAGCGATCTACAATCCAATCCGATCCAATCTGTCTTGCACTAGCCGAAAGAGTGTTTCGAAAGGGAGCCGCGTGCGCGCGTGACTTTGTGCCAGCAGGCAACTAGGGCAAAAGTTTCAAGTCGGCAGGAGACAGAATCATGGATGCGCCTCTTGCCGCTCGGTCGACAACTCGATTACCGCCAGATTTCCTGCTGCCAAGGGCGATGTCGTAGGTTTGCCGGGGGTTTCTTTTTGGTCTACAGATCTATCTACGCTCCCCAGGGACAGTACTACGACGACACGACGGAGAGGAAACGGCATGAAAATAAAAATAACAGAAAGAAAGAAAGAAAGGAGAAAGAAAGACTGCTGGGCCATAGTGGCTGGTCTCGACTCGAGCAAAGACGCCTGGGCCCGCCGAATTTCCCAAGAGGGATGTAGTATGACGGCATGGATTTTTTTTCTCCCTCTTCTTTCCTTTTGGTGAGATCCATCGTTGTTCTTTTGGGGGCCGACGAGCGGTACATACGTGCTTAACTTGGTTTAAACAACAAGAGCCGGTGCCCCTCATCAACTTCAAGGCCAAAACAGGGATTCCCGGCCTCTTTTTATTTTTGTTTTTTGGTATTGTTTTTTCTCTCTCTTTCTTTTCTTATTCTCTCGTCTTCTTATCTTTCCACGTGGCTTGGGCGCAGGGAGACCGAGTGCGATGCACAGAGCAGGCAGGATGCGATAGGTTCTCAACGTGCCAGCTTCCATTTCAACATGCATCGAGCTGGTTCACGGACTGTTGCTTGTGTCGAAAGCTTGACAACAGAAACACGTCAGTCAAAAGCGCATGTGCCTATACTTGCTTGCATGCATGCATGCATTAGGAAGTGCCGTTGCACGAAAGCGAACACGGGCTGAGTGGCCCCATCTGTTGGAGGGGACAACACTTGGCCCTTTCCCAGGTCGTCCGATGTCGATTCGGTCATTGGACCGAGAGGCCAGTGCGAGTGTATATGGATTGAGAGACTTGAAGATGGGATGTCGCAAAGATTCGCTTTCCAACATGGCCTATGTTGTGGTACGTTACGCCCTCGCACGGTGGCTGGGCCTGTTGATCGATGATGGTTGGCCAGCTCAACCATGGGTGGGAGAGTCTGTCTGTATGAGAGGGAGGTCCTCCTCATCTTGATACGGACGTACGAACGGAGGTATGAGAGATATTGGATTATGGCGCGACCTGACGCTTCCAAGATGCACAACCGCTAACTACCTACTGCCTGCCACTCTTGCCTTGCCGAGACCCGACAACCTCGGAGCTGGCCCCGGAGGTGCCTTAGAAGATACTTACATAGGTACCTAGGTAGTTGGGCAGGCAGGTACTCAGGTAGGTACCGAAAGGGAAGAGGCTCGGTGTCTGGTGCTGGGTGCTGTGCTGCAGTGCTGCAGTGCTGCAATTGGTAAAAGCTGCGGCGAAGGAGCTGGGAGCATGAGATGCCGAGCCAAGCAAAGCCAAGCCTCCCTGGTTGCACCTTGCCCTGTGTGCTCTTGTACCTATCAGCAGGTAGTTAGTTGCCTGTAAGGTACCTGGGTAGGCACATAGTACAGCCAGTCTCAGTTAGGCTAAGTGGCCTTCTCACTGGCTGACTGCCCTGGTCCCATATCACCTATCAATGCCTACCTGTACCTAGGCATCAACCTGCCGGATATCTTCTCGAAGCACAACAAAAGTGAGAGACCAATTTCTTTTCTTCTTTTCTGCACTTTTTTTTTGGGGGGGGGCGGTGGAGGCTTCTTGTTACTGTTCTTCCTACTCCTCGACAGGTGGGCCTCTCTCACCCCCCACTCTCCTGGATTGTCAATCCGGCTCGGTAGATCATGCTATTCACCTATACGTTGTACGTACCGTCTCGTGCGAGCGAGACTTGTCCACTACGGCAAGGTGAGCATCTGGTCTTGGAAGAAGTCAATGCGCGTTCCTTCTTGGATCAGAAAGCTTAATGAACTACACACTCGCCCCAGCGTTGGGTGGCTTTGGATAAGAAGCCAAAGCTTCAAGTACACCGATCTGGACCTCTCAACACCTGACCACCAGCGGACACAGAGCAGCCGGGTGTGAATCTAAACCGATGTGGTCCGTCGCCCGTCACCCACGGAACTTCGTGTTTCCAGCCTCCCCGCGCCGTTGCCAGCGCCGGGTCGGACTTGGGAATTGCCATTATTTGTCACCATCCGGGGCGGTTTCTCCTCGGCCTTCTAGCGCGCACTTAGCCGTCGCCCGCAGAACAAGGCACCTAGTTAGTTGGAATAGCATAGCCCTACCCGGTGACGAACGTTTCGAGGTGCCATTGGTCAATCTGGGTATCCCGACGACATCTTTCTCACGTAAGGCAGACATACCGGTAGCAAAGGGGGCTTTTTCGAAGAGGAGCGGGTGGAACACTGATGATTCCGAAAAAGCAACAAAGTCGGAGCCTCTGGTCAAGTCCCTGGGGACCCCCTCTCCTCCCAGCAACAAACCCCAGGGAGACCTGGCTTGACGGAGTTGGATGAACCGCTTTAGTTCCCGTAAAAGAAGTCTGCTTGTGAACCGGATATCAAACCATCCAACATCAACCCGTGAACATCAATCAGCCCTTCAGACCTTTTCCCGTCGTGCCGCCGTACGAGATCCCGGCAAGCTGGTTCTCTCCATTCGA